ATACAGCTCTTATGATGTCTATTTGGAGAATTTAGTATCGGATCAACTAAAATCCCTTAACTGATATTTTTCTTCATTCTCATCATTCGTCTGCTATATATTGTTTTGATATTGTGAGGAGAAATTCTGCCTTGGCCACTCATGGGATTGGCGAGCAAACAGGTTCTCGGAACAAAGAACTTGTCACCAAATTCTCTGTGATTCAAAAGGGAACATATGACAGCTTTAAGGGAGAATTGCAAATCACTCTTTGGGACCAAATGGTTAAATATACTTGCCACAATAATTGAAAAGATGAATTTTGATGCATGAAAATTTAATTTTACCTTTGCAGGGAGCAAGCGAGAGATTTGTGTCCAGTCCAGAGGAGGTCATGGAAATCATTGATGAAGGAAAAAATAATCGCCATGTGGCAGTAACAAGTAAGGTCTTCTTCTTAATAACACTTCCACTCCCAAGATCTGGTTGTTAATTCTCCCCTCTAGCTGCTACACATTTCCTTGTAAATTAGTAAAGAGAATTTGGTGTTAGATCAAGACATCAACTTCTACCTGATAAGTTTGAGTATTCTCATTACGCGTTTGCTGGATAACATAGGGATTTTACAGGGTGAAGTTACTTGTTAATCACTTCTAGGAGTTTAAGGCCAGGTTAACAACCAAGAGAGACCAATCAACATATAAATTATTTTAGTTGTCACCTTGTACAAACATTGTCCCGCAAACAGGTAATGAGAATACTCAAGCTGATCAAGAAGTTTTTATCTTGATCTAATACCAAATTCTCGTTACATTTACAAGGACATTTGTAACAGCTAAAGGGGAGAATAACAATCAAATCTTGAAATTTTAAAAGTTACATGTGATTTCTTTAGAAACTCTGAATGAGCTCCATGGGGATGGCTGGTAAATTGGCGAATTGTGCACAGTCTAGGGATGCCCTGGTGAATTGATGACCTGTGCGCAGTCTTTACCCTTTTACGCTTGCATATGCAATCACATGTACTTGTTGCTTACACAATTATCCTACCACTTAAATTTATTGCCTTGACAGTTAGGTTGAGAATTAGAACCTTACCATTTTTTATGAATCTTGCTTCATCAGACATGAATGAACACAGCTCCAGGAGCCATAGTATTTTTCTTCTCCACATTAAACAAGAAAATGTAGAAACTAATAAGAAGCTAAGTGGCAAGCTGTATCTGGTGGATTTAGCAGGGTCAGAGAAGGTTGGTGAAAATATTATCTACAGATACTTTCTTCAACGACCTATTGATGTTACAGGGGCTGGATGAGCAGAACTTTGTATGTTTACTTTCAAGCTGAAAGACATTGTCAACACC